TAAAACTTTTTTATGTGCAGTTGTTTGGTTTTAATCTTGCTTTTATTCTGTCATGTCACTGCGTGGTTTTCTCTTTTCACTCGTGGAGTATCGTGCAGCGCTTAGAGCAGAAACGTGCACGATCACATGCTCGGGTCTTCTGGGTGAGTTCTGCTCATGCAGTGTAAGAACATTTGCCACCAGGAGTAAATTGCCCGACTCCGGTCACTGTTTCAATGATCCCATCCAGCCCTTTCTTTGAAGGGAAAAAAAGGGTTTCCAGTCATAATTCTGGGTATCAGCTCAGCAGAACACCAGAGACACAGGTGCCACAAGCTCTCATGACTTCATAGGAGAGATTTGTCCGCACAAAGCTTTTTTCCTCAGCCTCAGCAGCCGTACCTGTGCGGTTTTCATGCCGCTGTTGTCGGCGAGGGGCAGTACCGGGTTTCAAGGGCTGAGCTCCGCGGTCGATGGAGAAGAGCTATACGCCGCTGCGCCACCAGGGGCGCTCGGGGTTCACCTCAGTGGGAAAGTCCCGCTCGAACACGCTCCACACGGGCATTATACCGTACGGGTATTCAACACGCTGGTCATAAAACCTTCACTGTCAGACCAATTTAGGCAGTCTATGACTTCACCCTTTGAAGCATAAACATTTCTGGGAGAGGGATTATATACAAATGGGCTCCAAGTGTATTTTAAAGGGACGGTTGTGAAAAGAACAACTTGATTGACGGTGCACCTGCTTTAAAATAATAATATTGAGTTGTCAGAAGTAAACGGGACCGATACACCTACTTGCAGTACACTTGTAAGCGTGTCTTTTGACCATCAGATGAGTTAATCAGGGGGCCTCGTTAGTTAGGCAATAATAACGTCAAAAGACCAGCCACCGGTACGCAAAGGGAGAATAAAGAAAATTTCAGCTAGTTGTTAAAATGCAGAGCGGGGTGAACAAATCTGAATTTGTCTTCCGCCAATGACATCCCCCCTCACCACCATCACCACCCGAGACGCAGATTTCATGACTTAGCGCTTCAAACGCGCAGAACAGCCCTGTCTGGGAGCGTCGCAGGTGAAGCGCGCTCTCCCGGTGCAGGCGGGGGGCTAGTTAATGGTGCGAATGTGGATCATCTCCCCGCTTGACAGACAGCGCGCAGCATGGAGTGATCTGCGCCGTGCTCCGGCCAGCCCTGGAAGTAGTTCCGGGTGCTCGAGCGAGCGAGCGGGTTCCCGGATGTTCGCTGCTGAGTGGAAGCAGACGGGAGAAGGTGGAGGAGCCCAGGGACGACACTGACCCACACACCGGCCGGGGCGACGCGGGTATAGCCCGGGACAGGCACCGAAAGCGACAGCGCCCGGGGGGGGGAAAGGAGTCCAACCCCCTGGGGGAAGAAGCAGCGGTGGAAGGGGTGGGGGCATTGTTGTTCCCGCACAGACCTGGACCGGTCCAACACCACCTACCCGGGGTGAGTAAGCTGGGAGAACACGGGGATGGGAGTTGAAGCGAGGCCCGGGAGGAGAGCGCCTCTCCCGGGGCGCCGGGCCCTACTCGAGCCGCGGGGATCCAAGCGGGCGGGAAGGCCTGGCGGCTCTCCTCCCTCTCGCGTCGGGGGGATCGGACGCGGGGGTCCCCTGCAGGCAGAGGAGGGGGGGCTGAGCCGGAGAGTGGCCGTGTGCGCCCTGCGTGGCCGTGGGAGCCGCGGTGGGTCGCGCTGGCGGAGGCGTGTAGCTGTTGCACATTTCGTGCAGTTCAGAGGTGAAATACTGTAAGCCGAGTGCACGTCCAAAACGGGGTGTCGCGTCTTCTGCGGATTTCTCTTGACAGTTGCCGAACACCCCGGGAAACACGAGACTTGTGTGGGGCTTTCTTTCTTTTTTTTTTGCTCTGGTTTTAGTGCGGAATGAGATCTGGGGTGTCGCTCGGGTGGAAGTGCTAAAAGCTGCTTCTGCTGTCAGAGCAGCTGCCTCCTAGAGCAGACGGCAGGAGCGACTTGGTCACAAAGCGTGCGGACCTCGGTGGTGTTTACCCCGGGGGGCAGGGGCAGGGGCAGCTGAGGCTGCCGGCGTGCCTGGGCTGCCGTGTGTGGAGTTACCCGCCTGTGCCAATCTTGTCACAGGAGATGCGCGCAGGAAGAGGGACAGCCTTCTGTGCACACAGACGCGTCGGGTCTCCCCCTCTCCCTCTTTTTTTTTATGTATTTAAACGTGAGCGCCGCCAACACTTTCTTACCGGAGCAACTTTGACAGCCCGTGTCGCCTCTGCCCTCCGCGCACACTCGCTCCTACGGTCGCCGCAGACGTGCGGGGAGAAAGTATTCGGTGGGGAAGACAAACCCCACAGATTGGCCGGCCGTCTTCCCCGCTCGTCGCCGCACGGCTGTGGGAGGAGAGCCGGGGACGAGGAGCGCGGCGGACGGTGTCGATCGCCGCAGGCCCGCCGGTGGTGGTGAGGGGTGGACACACACACGTGTCTTCGCGGGCGCTCGTAAGTAACCCTGCTTCCCCGGCGGCACGGAGGCGGCGTCGGCTGCTGGTCCCCGGTAGGACGCCGCCGGCGGAGCGGCGCGGGAGTTTGGATGCTGCTTTTAACTCCATTGCACGTTTTTTTTTTCTCCTCCCCAAACGCGTCGGTCCGTACAGCCTCCCCGAGGGCTGCGGTTTACAGACGTGCTTTCTAACCAGCCATCACCCCCGAGAGGTCCTGGCGAGATCGGGAGTCCCCAGCTTCCCGGCCCAGAGCAGCTGTCTCAAGCGCATCCTCTGCTTTAGCGGTTTCAATGAGCTGGTGCGCCCGATTAGGTGCCTCGGACCAGGTGCCGGCGTGGGCGTCCCAGCGGGGAGATCGCAGGCCCCTCCAGGTGAACGCGCAGCCCGTGTGGGAGGGAGCTCTCCACCTTCCCCGCCTGCACTGACGTGGGCTGTCCGGTTGAGCCGGCGACCAGCTTTGTTTTCTCCTCCGGGGCGCAGCGGTGAGCCCGCCGGGCTGCTCTCGCAAGCCCTGTCCGCCTGAGCCAGCCGGGTGCAGTCGGGCTCGGGCAGGGGGTTAGCGGAGGGGCTGTGGGTTTTCAGGCCAGGAGGTGTTAACCTAAGCTCGAGGTGATTCAGGATGCCCTGTCAGTGTTGAGAGAGTCGGGCTGCTGGCGCCGAACAGCTGCCTCCTGTCAACCAGGTGAGGGTGAGTGAGTCTCTTCCTGCATGTGGAGCGCTATGCAGATGCAGAAATGCTTACTCGGATCCTCTTTGAGTTTTGATCCCTGCACCTCTATTGTTATTCTCTCTTTCATTGAAAAAGACACGCAAGCAATTGCTCGTATGTTATACCCCAGAAACAAAATCCTCAAAGTGAAAGGTACCGTTGTGAAACTTCATTACAGTGTGTGGCACAACTGCTGGACTCGAGGCATGTTAAATTATTACTGTCGGTTTTTAGCATAGAATATTAAACAGAGCGATCTTAGAGATTCCACGTGGAGTCTAATGCAGTGAAGTCCAGAGCCAGACAAGAGTAAAAAAAAATCAGTGCAGCGTAATTCTGAACGATGTAGATAAAGTCCTGGGTGGCTGACCCGAGAATTCAGTCATTAGCCCGCAGGATGTGTTTCTGTTCTGACGTTCGGCTGTCTAGTAATAATGGAGAGGTGCAGCTGACCGCCTGGCCAGCATCAGCGTCCAGCAGTGAAGGGGCTCAGCCTGGACTGTGGGTTGATGCAGGGCCGGCCATCGGCTCCTGGGACGCCGGGCAGGAGACTGAAACCGAGCGGTGCTTGTGGACGCACGTGGGCCGGCCCGGCGTAAGGTTTCAGCGTAAAGCTGAAAACTCTGGCTAGGAGCCGGCCATCCGAGTGTCTTCCCCTCGCTGTAAGCACCTTCTCCCCAGCTTCAGTGAGTGTTGCAGAAACCTGTCGCAAACTACTGATAACGCAGTGCATATATTGGGGGTTATTAAGCCGTCTGCACAGTGGGTCTGACATTGAAAAGATGTGATCTCCCCTTTGTGTGGGCCTGACCCCAGGTGTTGTTTCTCTTCCAGCTGGCTTAGGGTGAAACCCCTGGACCCCGTATCCCAATCCGTTATTGTGTTGTGCCTGTGATTGTCTCAGTGTGGTTCTGATCTTGACTTTGGGTCCAGGTTGGAGAGCTTATAGGTTTTTTCTTAGCCTCGTGTGGGTAAAATGTCTGATTGTGTTGGTCTGGCTGTTTATTTTTCTGTTTACAGTGTCCCCATCAGTCTGCCTCCTGTGACCCCATTTAGTAACTGAACACTTTTTAATAGTTGACATTCAGTAGTTATCCTCCTTTCTGGGAAGTGGCATGACTGGTGTCTGATGGTGAAGTGACACTTGTGCTGGCTGTATTGTGCACGCGCGGTGAGCTGTGTCCAGTATTGCCACGAGCAGCTCCCAGGGCTTCAGTAGGGCAGCCCTGGCTGTATCGCTGTCTGTTTGCCGTCTGTCTCTGCCTTAGTGTTTTGCTCTTGGGCTCCCCCCTCCTCTAACCCCTGCCTCTCCGTGCAGCTTATCTGAAAGCTTCAGTTGTTTGTCACCTCAGAACCCTCAGAACCCACAGGGCTCGTCGGAGCCTCCTTGCAAGGCGTCACTCGGTTCACACCGGCTGAGCTGCCCCGGGCGCTCTCGCAGGACGGCCTGTCAGATCCTTCCTCGCATCCAGGCGGGAGCAGGTCGGCCTCAAGGTGGGATTTGAAAAAAAAAATTATCGTGGTTTAGATTAGGCAGAAGAGGAGTGGAGGTTTCCTGTAAAGATTCGACAGTCCAGCCAGGTCCCCGCAGTACAATCTTAGGGCTGCTGTTTTTAGCTTTGTTGTAGCTGCAGAGTTTCTAAGAATTACCTTTTTTCATTATCCGTTTATTCTTGAGTAACGAAAGCAGGTTTTTTTCCCGCTTCATGGAAACCCTGTCGCGAAAGTGCATTGGAAAACGTGTGATCCGATTTTATGGATGACTGCCACTAACATCGAATAGGGAGTTTGAAAGGAGCACTGGTCTGGACCCTTGAGAGGGACAGAACGTGCACTGCGAGAGTGAGCCTTTAATCATTCCCATAAAGAGCTGATTTACTGGGGATAGCATAATTACAGCTGCTTAATAGCAGCAGTTCCCCAGATGTATTGCACAATTACTATCGATCAGAAGGTTTTCAAATCTATTAACTTGATTATGCAAATTCATGCAAAGTACAGAAGTAGACTAGAATGCACCGTGACAGTCCTCCCTGTCCTTAAAATGCAGAAAATGGAAACTTGTGGGTTTACAGATGCTTGCCTAGACTCTAATTATTTTTTCTTCAGCTGCGTGTTTAAGCAGAGAGCATCTCTATCACTGCATTTTAAATAGACTGCAGACGGAGATCTGTATGAATATAGGGCTTTCTTTTTCTTTCTCTAGCATCATGCCAAGAAGTGCCGACTCTTTATTTGGACTCTGTGCTAATTCTCATCAGGGCGAGAGCTGCCTGAACAGATTTTTCATATTATTATTGGGATTGAGATTTCTGGGATGGCTTAAATGGTGTTGATTGAGAGTAATTTGGCTTTTTAATTGCAGAACAGCTGTCACACTTTCTGCTGATTGCCCTTTGTAGGAGTTCTCAGTGGATTGCTCCCAAACCTCAAAATATTTAATTAAAATGCAAGGTGAGGAATCTGTTAAAATGGGCCTGTTGAGCACGTTGCATTTAAAAAAAAAAAACTGATTAGAATTTTTAAAAATCCCAATCAAGACTGTGCAAGTTCTTGATGAAATTAGACACCGCAGTAAAGTGTAAAACTGATAGCGAGGAGCCCGCGCTGCACTGCTGTGTGGTCTGCAATGTGTTAAAAGTCAAGGCCGTAGGAGGTGGGCATGTCGGAGGAGTCTGTCTGCACTTCCTCTTTCTCCTCGTGCATGGCGTTGGCGTTGTGGCTGAGAGACTGAGGAACCTGCAACTGGCCATTCCGGACTGGGTGCTTGTTACAAGTGGACTAGATGAAGCAAAAATTGTAGAATAAAGATGCTACGTTAGCCTGTTTTACCATTGCACGTATTGTAAGCAAGTAATGTATTGTTAGCAATGGGGCAGGAGTAGCACTGTGGTTAGTGTTGTTGTCTCATAGTGCTGGACCCCTAGGTTCAGTTCTGCAGTTTGAGTGATCTCCCTGTGTTCATGTTCGTTTTCCTCTGGGTGCTCCAGGCATACTGGTAGATCAATGGGCTTCTGGGAAAATGGCCCTGGTGTGAGTGTGCGTCGGTGCCTGTGTGCCCTGCAGTGGACTGGCTTCCTGTCCAGGGTATATCCTGCCACGCGCCCGTTGCCTGCTGGGATAGGTTCTGGCTTCCCCCCGGACCTTAAATCCGAAGAGGCGGATGGAGAATTGATGGATGGAGGGGTAGCAGACTCCTGGGAGCGTTGTCTGTTTGTAGTCCACTTGCTGCAGGCTGGATATAGCCCTCGTGAAAAAGGAAAAGTATGG